GCCTTCCAAGGAGCTGGAACTACAGGCGTGCGCTACCACGCCCGGCTGATTTTTGATTTACTGTAGGAATGAGGTCTCGCCGAGTTGCTCGGGCGGGTCTCGAACCCGCGGGCTAAGGCAATCCACTCGCCCCGGCCTCCCAAAGTGCTGGGATGACAGGCATGAGCCGATGTGCCTGGAGCCAATTCCCTTTTCTAACTGTGAATGAATAAGGAAACCAAGAGTCCGGCCTTAGGAAGATGAGCAAAGGAGAGCTTTGGACTTCATCAATGCCTCCTGAAGCGTCTGACTTGGAAGCCCACACGAATCAAACAGAGGGACTGAGGCTAGGTCATGGCAGAGGAAAGCTGGCCCCCCTTCTGCTGCAGGGCAAACACCATGTGTCTGGGGCCCCTTCAAAGGAAACCTCTCCCCCTGAGGCCCTCCGGCCACATGGCGGTGAGGGCGAGGGCGAGGGGCAGCGGCGGGCCTGCTTATCCTTGGGTACCGCCACAGACTCAAGTGCGCGCGGAGGAGATGCCCAGATCCTTCCACGGTTCCACCCCAACACCAACCCTCTTGCAGCATCAGCGCCCAGCGCACAGGGCTCCACGTACCTGGGCCAGCCGCCTGTGCTTCTTTGACACCCTCTGGTTTTTTGGCTTCACAGACAGTTTGTGCTTGGCGGCACTGTTGTCCAGGCGAGCGATGGCCAGGGGAATGGCATCTAGGTTGACACTTTCGATGGTGCCCGCAGAAGACAAGTGCCTTTTTGGCCGAGACGGTTTGACTGGAGCGACCTACGGGGGAGATCAGAATAGAAAGTCAGTCTGGATCAGAAGACAACAGCCTTCTGGAATCTCAGAATGGGGACAATCACTTGAGTCTGTGCCTTGTCCGGCCTGGCAGGGGGCATGCTGGTGTGCGGTGAAGGCTCTTCGTGCAATGAAAAGGGCGCTGGTTTTAGGATCAAGACTGGACACCGACCCTTTGTTCTACCAATATTAACTTGTAAAGGTCACTTAACTTTTCAGGGACTAATTTTTGTTTTTATTTTTGAGCAGGGGTCTTGTCCTGTCGCCCACGCTGGAGTACAGTGGCACACTCACAGTTCACTGCAGCCTCGACCTCCTGGGCTCAGGCCATCCTTCTGCCTCAGCCTCCCGAGTAGCTGGGACTATAGCTGTGCACCAACATGCCCAGTTAATTTTATTTTTTTTTTTTTTTTTTTGTAGAGACAAGATCTCACCATGTTGCCTGGACTGGTCTTGAACTCCTGGGCTCAGGCCACCCTTCTGCCTCAGCCTCCTGAGTAGCTAGGACTATAGGTGCACACCAGCATGCTCAGCTAATTTTTTTTTTTTGTAGAGACAAGATCTCACCATATTGCCTGGGCTGGTCTTGAACTCCTGGGCTCTAGCAATCCTCCTGCCTTGGCTTCCCAAAGTACTGGGATTACAATCATGTGCCACTGCGCCTGGCCTCAAGACAGAGAATCTGCCTCTTTCATCTCTGTATTAGCTCCCTTTATGCCAAAGCAGCAAATCTCACTTGGTCAGTGGTGGTAAATATTTGCTGAGGGAATGAAGGAACAATAAAGGATGACATCCATGCCTAGGACTTGAAATTCCCGATCAGCAAAAATGTTTTGGCACTCACTCCAAAGTCACAGCACACTAAGTGCACCGACAAGCTAAAAGCAAGAGGGCTCTGGTGAAAAAATCTGCCCCAGGCGCAGGCACAGTCCCTGTAAGGATGGACCCACAGATGGCCAGCAGCTCAGGAATACAGATGCTCCCACGAACTGTGCAGATTTGGAAAGGACAGAGACCCTGGCCCAGCCTGAACTCAGAGGCCACAGTGGATCAGCCAGTAGGAAGCCAGCCTGTAGCCAGGGCTCAGTCACAGTGCCTCTAGCCACACAATGCCAGGGTTCCTTTGGCGGTGTTCCTGTGTGCCGGGGTAAGGTTTAGCCCTTAGTTAAGAGCGAAAGACAAGAGACCAAACTCCAAGAGCAAAATGGATGCTCAGAGTACATTAATTTAGAACACGAAGTCCAGAAGCATCAACCTCCGACCTTACAGCTTTCATTTTTTGTTTTTGATTTGGAGTCTCACTCTGTCACCCAGGTAGGAGTGCAGTGGCATGGTCACGGCCACCGCAGCCTCGACCTGCTGGGCTCAGGCGATCCTTCCGCCTCAGCCTTCCAAGGAGCTGGAACCACAGGTGCACACCACCATGCCCAGCCAATTTTTCTTGATTTATTGTAGAGACGAGGTCTTGCCATGTTGCCTTGGCCTCCCAGAGTGCTGGGATGACAGGCATGAGGCTTCATTTCTTTAGGGTTATGTTTCTGATAGGTACCCAACTCTGAGCTCTTGCTGAAAAGAGATGAATTAAACATTTGTGTCCACCCCCTCATAGATGCAGGAGGAAGAGGAGTCAGAGCCAAATGTGACAGATTGAAGACACAGACAAGCACTTGAAGCTGAGATGGAAGTGCTTAGTTTCTGGTTAGTCCAGCCAGGTCTCCTCATTGTCTAGGCAGTAGTACCATCTTGAGCCATCTACTTCTTCAGGTGCAGACTTTGCTCACTGTACTGTCAGCTCTTGGGAGGATGCCTGGTCCCTCCTGTGGCTGAAAAGGGCTCATCGGGGCAGATCCATTCCCACAGAAGAGGTACATGGGAGAAGGGGGTCTGTGGGGTTCCTTGGGCTGCTGCAGAGAAAGTCCCAGGGTCGAAAGGGACACAAAATTAAAAAACAAAGCCACATAAAAGTCGGCCACGCTCAGCGGCTCATGCCTGTCATCCCAGCACTTTGGGAGGCCAAGGCAGGAGGATTGCCTGAGCCCAGGGGTTCAAGACCGGCCTGAGCAACATCAAAAAATCAGCCAGGCATGGTGGCGCACGCCTGTGATTCCAGCTACTTGGAAGGTTGAGGCAGAAGGATCACCTGAGCCCTGCAGGTAGAGGCTGTGGTGGCCATGAGTGTGCCGCTGAACTCCAGCCTGGGCCACAGAATGAAACTTTGATTCAAAAAATTAAAAAAAACAAAAAACGTCAAAGTAGAGAAATACTGAAGTTTTTTTCATTGGTTTGGTTGGTGTGGGGTTTCTGTATCTCAGTAAGAGGACTCTTCCTTACAGACTTGGGTACAGGTGCTATGAAATGCCTTTTTTAATGAGTTGACAGTGCCATGAAGCACATGATATACATTTAAGAAACTACCACCTTCTAAGATCCCAAACGCAGGCATGCTGGGAGTTGAGCTATTTTTTTTTTTTTTTTTTTTTTTTTTGAGTCATGGTCCCACTCTGTTGCCCAGGCTGGTGTGCAGTGGCATGATCACAGCTCACTGCAGCCTCGACCTCCTGGGTTCCACGATCCTCTTGCCTCAGCCTCTCAAGTCGCTGAGACTACAGGTGCACGCTATTTAAAAACATTTTTTTATGGAGACAAGGCCTAGCTACGTTGCCAAGGATGGTCTCAAACTTCTGGGCCCACACATTCCTCCTGCCTCGGCCTCCCAAAGTGCTGGGACTACAGACATGAGCCATTGCGTCCGGCCAGAGTTTAGCTATTTTTCAGAGTAGGGTTTGGTTCCAGCAGTTGCCTTGCTATGGAAATAGGCGCGCCGACATTGACCATCTATTGCTGGTTGCCCTTGGAAAGAAATTAACATGATAAAGGAAAGCAACATTTATGAACTAAAAATGAGGCCACAGATTGCAAAAAAAAAAAAAAAAGTGAGCCGGGCTCGGTGGCTCAGCCTGTAATCCCACGCTTTGGGAGGCTGAGGTGAGTGGATTGCCTGAGCCCGCGGGTTCGAGACCCGCCTGGGCAGCAAGACCTCATCTTTACAATAAATCCAAAAATCGGCCAGGCGTGGTAGCGCATGCCTGTAATTCCGGCTACTTGGAAGGCTGAGGCGGAAGGATCGCCGGAGCCTGGCAGGTCGAGGCTGTGGTGGCCGGGAGTGGCCACTGCACTCCAGTCTGGGCGATAGGGTGAGACTCCAACTCAAAAAAAAAGTGGACATTAAAGAAAATAACCTTACCTTCTCGTCCATCTCACTTCCTGCTCCAGGTAGATCTGGAGGACTCACAGAACTTGGCGTGTCACTGGACTGGAACAGTAAAGGGAGCAGGGAAGTCAGACGCTGGAACAGAAAGTTCTAGGCAAACAACCAGACACTGTCTGTGCCCGGGGAAGGCCGCCGCCTCCTCCACACAGTGGTGCAGCTGGCCTCGAAGAACCAGCAGGAGTTCCGGCACGGACTTAGCCAGTGTCCAGGCCCCCAAGGACTCCCCCCGAGGCACAGAGGGTGCACCATCCACCCCAGAGTTCCACGCAGCCCCCGCCTGGGGAGTCCCCAGCCTCTATCCCTGGGGTTTTTCCCCACTGCTTGAGAGAATCCGAGGTGCTGTGCGAAAGCACCTTCCCCGGGAAGCAGGGCTGCGTCTCACACACGGCCTCCAGTCTCAGGGCCTCCAGACCTCTCCTGTCTAAGTGGCAGGTGAGAAGAAGGCAGGCCCTACCAGTGCTACATGCAAAAGCTAAGTGGAGAGGGCGAAAGCCAGGAAGAACCAGAAACACGCAAAAGAAAAGGATGAGGAAAGGGCTGCAGACTCGCGCCCCGTGTCCTGGTCCCCCAGGGGTCACCTGCACCCTTCCACTTGCCACCCCTTCTTCCCTGTATGGCCGTTTTCATCTAAGGGGCTTATCTTTCTTTCCACGGCGGCCCCTTCGACCTGTCCCACATCCGTCCGTTCTCCGCACCACACTTCGAAGGATCTTTTTTATGTTTATTTTCAGAGACAGGGTCTTGCTCTGTTGCCCAGGCTAGAGTGCAGTGGCCTGACCATAGAGCTCGCTGCAGTCTCGACCTTCTGGGCTCAAGCCATCCTCCCGCCTCAGCCTCCTGAGTAACTGGGACTACAGGTGCCACCATGCCTGGCTAATTAAAACCATCTTTTTTGGTAGACATGAGATCTTGCTATGTTGCCCAGGCTGGTCGCCAACCCCTGGCTTCAAGCCGTTCTCCTGCCTCAGCCTCCCAAAGTGCTGGGAGGATAGGTGTGAGCCACCATGCCTGGCTAGAAGGATCTTTCGAAAACACAAATCAAACTGTCACCACCCTGCTTAAAATGACTCAGAGGCTTCCTATTACCTTTAAAATAGAATTTACCAGCCGGGCTCGGTGGCTCAGCCTGTAATCCCGCGCCTTTGGGAGGCTGAGGTGAGTGGATTGCCTGAGCCCGCGGGTTCGAGACCCGCCTGGGCAGCGAGACCTCATCTCTACAATAAATCAAAAAATCAGCCGGGCATGGTAGCACATGCCTGTAATTCCGGCTACTCGGGAGGCTGAGGCGGAAGGATCGCCGGAGTCCAGCAGGCCGAGGCTGCGGTGGCTGGGAGCAGCCCAGGGTCCAGCTACACGCCTCATCTAAAGAAGTGACCTCCCTCCCTCCCACCAAGTTACTCACTTTTCCACTACCCTGATTTATTTTCTGGGCAGCCAGTGTTTTTCTTGATCCGAAGCGACTCTGCGGATCCCCCTTTCATTAGGATGGAAAGTACACAGAGGCGGAGCCCCTGAGGGGTCCTACTCATTTCTCTCTGTGACACCCACGTCATAGACAGTGCCTGCTGAACAAACAATCCTCCCTCCTCCCCCAGGACACAGCCCCTTGCACTTAGAAGACCATCCCTCACAGCCAAGGCATGTGCTTCGGTCCTTGGGAGATCCCGCCCCAAGGCCACGGCGCTTGCTGCTGCCTTGCCCTGGAGAGGCTAGAAGGAGCAAACTCAGACTTCATGGGACACATACCGCCCCCCGCCATCCCCTACCACACAAAGTGTGCCCACGTGTGGGCGCCAGGGGCCGCTAAGGGTAACTGGGGGGGGGGGTTCGTTCTCCTTTCTTCCTTTCCTTACTTTCCTCTGCAAATCGCTTGTCTTTTGCTTGTACTCTTAAGCCAGGGTCTCACTCTGTTGGCCAGGCTGTACTGCAGTGGCACAGTCACAGCTCACCGCAACTGCCACTTCCTGGACTCAGGTGATCCTCCTGCCTCAGCCTCCTGAGTGGCTGGGACTACAGGCGTGTGCCACCATGCCCGGCTAATTTAAAAAATTTTTTTGTAGTGATGGGATCGTGCTATGTTGCCCAGGCTGTTCTCGAATGCCTGGGCTCAAACAATCCTGCCTCAGCCTCCCAAAGAGCCATCGCGCTCGGCCCTAATCCTTTGTCTTTTTTACCACTCTTATGACATATTAGCTAATCATGCATGGTTTCTTCTGAGGCATGCCCATTTTAGTAACACCCAACAAAATTTCAGGCACCTTAAAAAAGCCAAAAGAATTAAAAAAAAAATCTGAAGCCTCAAAACGCCTCACCTAGAAAATTCCCAACTCTAGCTACTGGTTGGGCTTTTGTGCCTCTTCCCATAAGAGGCCTAGGGTATCCTTTTAGGAGATTCTCAAAGTGTTTCCTTTAAAGTATCAAGAGACCAAACTTAGACAAGACAAGGCTGGAATGTGCCTTTCTTTCTAGACGAAGCCCTCTGAAGCGGGCCCGTTTCATGTGTCCTGTCTCATTGAACCTTCTCTCTTTGCTTTTTTCATTTCTCTTGAAATTAGTACAGCTTGCCAAGTTCAGTGCTACAAAGCAGGCAGTGGCTAAGTCCCAGGGAGACAGAGGTGTGTGAGACCCAGTGTGTCCTCAAAGAGCTCAACGTTTAGACATACAGCGGAAACAGTTACGGGGACATAGATGGGAGTGGGCTACGGATGTGGGAAAAATGGTGAAGACCGGCTGGGTGCGGTGGCTCACGCCTGTCATCCCAGCACTTTGGGAGGCGGAGGCGAAGAGGATGGCCTGAGCCCAGGGGTTCAAGACCAGCCTGGGCAGTTTGGCGAGACCTCGTCTCTGCAATAAGTCAAAAAAAATGAGCCAGGTGTGGTGGCACGTGCCTGTGGTTCCAGCTACTTGGAAGACTGAGGCTGAAGGAGTTCCTGAGCCCAGCGGGTTGAGGCTGCGGTAGCCATGAGCGTGCCACTGCACTAGGCAACAGAGTGACTCCGACTCAAAAAAAAATAGTGAAGACCCACAGCAAAGTCATGGAGGAGATAACATAGCCTCAGGTGAGGCCAGGAAGAGATGGGCATGAGCCTTGAAGGGTAAGTGGAAGGCCTGTGAAGAGCACATGCAAGGAGGATGACTCCTCCCCCACCCCCCTGCCGTTGGCTTCAGGTCAGGGTGCCAGCCCAGGAAGTCCCTCCAGCTCTGAGCTACTCATCACCGGAAAAACTTCCTCCTGGCCAGGTGCAGTAACTCACACCTGCGATCCCAGCATTTTAGGAGGCTGAGGCAGGAGGATCCCTTGAACCCAGGAGTTCAACACCAGCCTGGGCAACATAGCAAGACACTGTCTCTACAAAAAAAAAAATAAAAAAACTAGCCAGGTGCAGTGGCACGTGCCTGTAGTCCCAAATACTTGGGAGGCTGAGGCAGAAGGATCACCTGAGCCTAGGAGGTCGAGGCTGCGGCGAGCCATGAGCCTGCCACTGCACTCCAGCCTGGGTGACAGAGTGAGGCTCTGACTCAAAAAACTTAAAATGAGATGAAATAAAATAAAAATAAAATAAGATCCCCCCACCCAAGTTCCCCACTGCGGATCCCAGGGTTATCGATGCCCAACATCCTGCCTGGATGACTGGCAATCAAGCCACTTCCTGGAGGAGGCTCACCTTGTTCTCAGTGTCTGAGAGGACAATGTCCTGCTGAGTCACGATTTCCATGGGACTGGTCAGAAACAGATCCTCCTCCAAGCTGGCCTCTTCGCTGTCTGCCTTCTTCATGGGAATGGCGTTGGGTGGCTGCTGCCCAAACTTGATATTCTTGCCCAGCTGTTGCTGGAGAGAAACAAAAGAAAGACCTTCTGAAGCAACGACAACCGCGACCGGGTTCCCCGGCATATCTAGTGAGCGCTGAGGCATGGTCTGTGCACAGCCGATTTCTACACTCAGCCCCAGGTCAGGAGACCATGGTGCCACCCCAGAATAAGTTCATTGGTCTTCCACCTTCTTTTCTATCTCAACTTCAAGCCATGAGCTTTTTTATCCAGCCACCTCTTCATGGAGATGCTAACATCTTGCAATGGGTAAAGTGACTGTTTCTTGTCCAGACACAGAATATCCTTCCTCTTGCCCAGACTGGAGTACAGTGGCAAGATCATGGCTCACTGCAGCCTTGAACTCCTGGGCTCAAGCGATCCTCCTGCCTCAGTCTCCCCAGTAGCTGGGATTACAGGCGCGCGTCACCACGCCTGGCTAATTTCTGTTTTTTTTTGTAGACAAAGGGTCTTGCTGTGTTGACCCGATTGGTCTCAAACACCTGACCTCAAGTGATCCTCCTGTCTCGGCCTCCCAAAGTGCTGGGATGACAGGCATGAGCCACCACACCCGGCCATATTTCAGAACTCAAAGTTGGGATATAGGACAACCTATATATTTATTTATATAAAAAATATTTTTAAAAGTGCCACTATTCTGTTAAAAATAGTTACATAAGATGTGGGAACCGCTGGGGGAAATCAAGACCCTTAAGACTGGCGTAACAGATGAAATTTCCTGACACACTCCTTTAGAATATTTACACCTCTGCAACCTTTCTCACTAGCCCTAAGCTTGAGACCCCATCCTGGAACAGTAGGTTCTGTCTAGTGGGTCACTGCCAAGGTGAAGAAGTACGGAGGGCCAGCAAGTCCATCCACGATCAAAGCCGAGGTCATGGAAGGGACAGGAACTATCCAGACTTCCCCTCTGCCTTTCTGTGGCTGCCCAGCTATGAAATGGAGGACAGAAGGAACCCAGTGGGGACAGGGGTCAGGGAGGGCCTGACGACCCGTGAGGGGTAGCTCAGAGGGCAGGGAGAAGGGAGCGAGACCACAGGTAGAAATGAGGACGACAAATAGTATTTGTGATTAGAGAAAGGCCAGGTTGGAAAGGGAAAAATGTTTCCAGCAGCTGCCCAGTGTTTCCTGGGGGTAAAATTGCTCCCTGCTGAGAACCACCAGTCTAAGACCGAGGAACCTGGATCTCACAGTCCTTATATGCCTAAAAAAAAAATACATTCACTGATACTTATTGTTTCATTTTTGATTTTGGAGATAGGGTCTAACTCTGTTGCCCCTGGAGTGCAGTGGCATGCTCATAGCTCACTGCAGCCTCAAAGTCTTGGTCTCAGGCTATCCTCTTGCTTCAGCCTCCAGAATAGCTGGGACTACAGGCGTGCACCACCACATCTCACTTTTTTTTTTTAAATAGAGATGGAGTTTTGCTATGTCACCCAGGCTGGTCTTAAACTCCTGGGCTCAAGCGATCCTCCTGCCTCGGCCTCCCAAGTGTGAGCCACTGTACCCGGCCTGATATTTACCTTTAACCTAGCTGACATTTAATCCCATGGAGCCTTCACAATCACCTATTCTAACTCCTTCTCTTTGCAAAAAGAGTCAGAAGGTGAGTCAGAGTCAGAGGTGACCGGCCCAAGCTTATGGAATGAGTGGCCCCAAAGGAATCTTAATACAGGTCTTCTGAAATCACGTTCAGTGTTATGTTCATTGCGCTCTGCTGGTTCTCATACATTTGACACCGTACTTCCTTGTACAGGGGCAGAAAGCAGGAGATGAAGCAGCATTTTAAATACCTCACTGAAGTTCCCTGGCAGAAGAATCCTCGGAGGGTAATGCCTCCTTCCCTTTGAACTCACATCCACCCACCTCTTCCCAGCTCCCCTCCAGCTGTGCACGGTGGGCACTGAAACTCCAGAGACCTTACAGAGATGAGCCCAAGACGCCCCCCCCCGGGGGACCCCAGCATGCCAAGTCCAGAGCATAGCAAGGCAAGGGCTTGCGTTTGGTCTGCTGGTATTGCAGCCTGAGCCTGGCTGCTGGCCCCAGGTGAAAGGAGCACGTGTCAGAAGCCTGAATTCAGCAAGGAAAGACAGCTGCAACAGACTCAAAGGGTCGCAGGGAGGAGGCCAGAAAGGGTGTCTTCTCAAAACAAGTCTAGCAGGAAGCGGCAGGGAGTAGTAGCTAAGCAAATCCATAAGCAGGCATGGTTAGAGCAGCCGATGGATGGAATCAGACAGGAGGACACCAAGGAACAAGGTCACGGACCGTCTCACTCTGAAGCCTTGAGGGAGGGGTGAGACCCTGGGGCAGAAGAGGTAGGGATGTTCCCGGGGCCTCTCGGCCCAGCCTTCCCTGGGGGTAGCTGGCCAAGGGCTGGAAACTTCTAAATTCCCTTGACTGAGACCTCCTGTGGGCAGGGCCTGTCACATCATGAGGGAGCACCCCCAAAACCATCAGATTTGTCTTTTGGAAGGCAGGCCCCTGGTGGTACAGGCTTCCCCCGCTAGGTGAGTATTCTAGGAGCACACCGGCATCTGTGGACCACCTGGCTTCGTGGTGAGAAGCTGCGTGGCAGAAGAAACGTCCCGAGTTGTGGCAGACAGGTGACCGGTTCTTCTACCACGACAACGCACCTACCCACACCGCGCGGAGTGTTCAGAGGTTTTTGACCCCAAACGGTGTGACCCCTGTGCCCCACCCTCCCTATTCGCCGATATCACCCCAAGCCACTTTTCTGGGCTTACCCAGATGAAAAAGTCCTCAATGTGGAAGAGGTGAAACAAACAAAGGCAGAAGCACTAAAGGCATCAAAATTGATGAGTTCAACAACTGTTTTGAGCAGTGGAAAAAAGCATCTCGATAAGTGTATTGCATCAAACGGAGAGCGTTTTGAAGGTGACTGGAGTTTAAACATGTAAGAATCAATACACAGTTTTAAAATAAAGAAATACCAGGGCTTTTTGGGTCCCACCCTAGTACGAATGCTCCCAAATGACTGAGATGAGGGTATTGCTTACAATGGAAAAAATCAATCTTTTCTTTTTTTTTCCCCCAGAGAGGGTCTTGCTGTGTTGCCCAGGCTGGAGTGCAGTGATGCAATCATAGTTCACTGTAGCCTCGAACTCCCGGGCTCAAGTGATCCTCCCACCTCAGCCTCCAGAGAAGATGGGACCATGGGCACCACCATGTCCAGCTAATTTTTTTTTTTCTGTAGAGACAATCTTGCTATGTTGCCCAGGCTGCCCTCAAACTCCTGGTCTCAAGCAATTCTCCCACCTCAGCCTCCCAAAGTGCTAAGATTACAGGTGTGAGCCACCGAGCCTGGCCTGAAAGGATAATTCTTTCATAAGCTTCCAGTGAGAACCTGGCCTAACACTCTAATGCCATTTTGTTAGGATTTTTGCCATCATCGTAAAAACAGAATGAGTATGTTGGTGTCTTACTTCATTAGGGCTTTTAAACATGATGATCTATCCTGATGCTTAAGAGACAAAAAAGAATATGGCCAAATGTCATCACCATCTAGATCGAAATGAAGCCCAAAGAGGAGATGGCTGTTGTGGTTTCAAAGTAAGAAAAAAAAAAGAGAGGATGTGAAAAAAAGAATAGATAGAATAAGAACTGTCAGCCAGGCTCGGTGGCTCAGCCTGTCATCCCGCGCCTTCGGGAGGCTGAGGTGAGTGGCTTGCCTGAGCCTGAGGGTTCGAGACCCACCCGGGCAACTTGGCGAGACCTCATCTCTACAATAAATCAAAAAATCAGCCGGG